GCGTTTGCTTGCGCATTCGTGGCCTCTTGGAGGCCTCCTGGGGGCCGTTTGGGGTCCTCTTGGAGCCTCTTTTGGGGCCTCTTGGGGGCCTCGTGGGGCCTCCAGGGGGCGTCCTGGGCTCTCTTGGGGACCTCTTGGGGTCTCCTGGGGGCCTCTTGGGGCGGAAGGCTCGAATTGGTGGTTCTCGTTCCCCCCCTTGGGCCCCTCTTGGGGCCGTCTTGGGGCCCTCGTCGGCGATCTTGGGCGCCTCTGGGGCTGTCTTGGACAGTCCTCTTGGGGTCATCTTGAGAGCCTCTTGGGGCGGTCTTGGAGGCCTCTGGGGCCATCTTGGAGCGTCGGAAAGCCGAAAAGGCGAGAAGGCTGAAATCGTATAAGAACCTTAAGAAAAGCACTTATTTTGTCTCGTCTTGTGCCGTTTTGGCGGCCTCTTGGGCCGTCTTGAGGCCATCTTGGGCGGCTTGCAGCGATGTGGGGGCATCTCCGGCCCCTCTTGGGGCCATTTTGGAGCGTTTTTTGGCCCGTGTGGCCGTCTCTTGGGCCGCTGGGCCATCGTCAGGCCATCGTGGGAGCCATCTTGGGAGCCTCTTGGACTGTGTTGAGGCGGTCTTGGAGGCCTCGTGTTCCCTTTTGGACCGTCGGAAGGCCGAAAAGGCGAGAAGGCTGAAGACCTCCAAAACCTTTCTGGAAAATCAATGATTTTCGTCTCGTAGGACATCGGGGAGGGCTCTTGGAAGCCTCTTGGGCCATCTTGGCGGCCTCTTGTGCCGTCTTGAGGCCATCTTGGGCGGCTTGGGGCGATCTTGAGGCGTCTCCAGCCCCTTTTCGAGCCGTCTTGGAGCGTTCTTGGGCCCGTGTGGCCGCCGTCTTGGGCCGTCTGGGGGCCATCTTGAGAGCCTCTTTGGCTGTGTTGGGGCGGTCTTGGAGGCCTCTTGGGCCCTCTTGGAGCGTCGGAAAACCGAAAGGCGAGAAGGCCGAACACCTCCCAAGCCCGAAGGATAATCAATGATTTGTGTCTTTTGGGACGCCTCTTGGAAGCCTCGAGGGACGTGTTGGGTGCATCCGGGGCCATCGTGAGGCCATCTTGGGCCGCCTTGGGACGCTGTTGACTTCTGGCCGCATACGGCCTGCCATTTATTTGTCGACTCATTGGGCCGCCCCTGGACGGTTCCAGAGGCCCCCAGGCCCGCGCCCAAGAGATCCGGCATCTCTGACGGGGACTTGCTGGAAGTTGCCCGGGGGATTTTTCGCTCCAAGGCCCCCCCGCCACGCGCGCGCGCGAACTAGAATATTGTCAATTTGTTACCGGAGATCTTAGCAGGCCTCTGGCCCGTGGTGCCGGCGAACTACATGATGACCGGGGTTCGGATATCGTATGATGTTCCAGGATTCGTACGATGTTCCAGGATAGTTGAGCCTAGCCTTCTGAGAGCTGTGCATGTCGGGTGACCCCCAGTCGTGCAATGGAACGGCTAGCAAATCCAACGCATTCTTGCCATTTGTAAAGTCTGGCCGATCTTCGCCACATATGCACAAACAACAAGCCAGCTGAAGTCATCAATCGTCGCTGCGTGCCATGCAGGGGCCGTCTTGCGATGGTCGTGGGCCTGGACCAGCGGAGCGCCGTCCTAGGAGGCCCTAAGGGCGTCTAGATGCCCACAGGATACAATAGGGTGCCCTCCTAGGAGGTGCGCGGAAAAGACGTACGCTCCACACTCGCAATTGTGTGGGTTGTCTCACAGCGGAGCTTGCTTGAAGTTTTTGTTTGGTGAGGACCTCGGGGACTTCTGAAAGCCCGCTAGGGTGCTGTCTGGAGTCGCCAGGCCATCTTCAGGACCGGCAAGCTGTGCACACCCCATTTGTCTTTGTATCCTACGCGCGATACGAGGCGCGATGGATAAACAAATACGCTATTCGCCATCGTCGCCACTACCGACGCCATGCCGATGTTTTATATATATATATATATATATATATATATATATATATATGTATAGAGAGAGAGAGAGAAAGAGAGAAAAGAGAGAGCGTGATCCACCGCCGCTTTACTGTGGAAGATTCCCCCCCTCTTCCTCCGGAATCCAGGGGTCCCCCCCCCTCCGAAAATCCCCCCCCCTGCTCCCCCCCTCCCCCCCCCCTGTCCCCCACCCCCCCCCCCCCCCCGAAAACCGGGCGGGTCACTACCGGTTCGAACCCCCCCCCCTCCCCCCTCCAGAATACCGAGGGGGTCACTACCTGTTCGGAACCCCTACTCCTCCCCCCCCTATCAGAAAACTGTGGGGGGTCATTACCTGTTCGAACCCCCCCCCTTCCAAAACCGGGGAGAAAACCGGGGGGGGGTCACTACCGGTTCGAACCCCTCCCCCCCCCCCTCCAGAAAACCGGGGGGGTCATTACCGGTTCGAACCACCCCCCCTCTAGAAAACCGAGAGGGGGGGGCCACTGCCGGTTCGAACCCACCCCGCCCAATCACCGCCGGCAAACGATTCCCAGGTCCCCACCACAGTGCGCACCACATCCCCCACTGCTGTCCCCAGCACCACTGTCCTCACCACCACTGTCCCCGAAGTTCCCACCACCATCCCCACTGTCCCCACCAGTGCCCCCACCACTGTCGCACTGTCCCCGCCACTGTTCCCACCACGGTCCCACTCCCCCCACTTTCCCCACGGTCCCAAACACTGTCTCACATTCCCACTGTCCCCACACCATTGTCCCCACCACCACCGTCCCCACCACTGTCCCACAGTCCCCACCACGGTCCCACTGTCCCCACTGTTCCCACCCTTCTCCCCGCTGTCCCCACGTCCCCACTTTCCCCACCATTGTCCCACCACGGTCCCACTCTCCCCACTTGTCCCACGGTCCCCACCACTGTCCCTACTGCCCCCACTGTTTCCACCACTGTCCCACTGTCCCCATGTCCCCAGCACCACTGTCCTCACCACCACTGTCCCCGCTGTTCCCACCACCGTCCCCACTGTCCCCACCAGAGCCCCCACCACTGTCGCTCTGTCCCCACTGTCCCCAAAACTGTTCCCACCACGGTCCCACTCTCCCCATTTTCCCCAAGGTCCCAACATTGTCCCCACTGTCCCACTGTCCCCGCCGCTGTCCCACTGAGCTGTCCCACGTTTCCCACCACTGCCCCCACTGTCCCCGCCACTGTCCCCTCTGTACCTCTGTCCCATCGTTCCATTACCGTCCTCGCCACCGCCCTCACCACTGTCCCCACCTCCACTGTCCCCACCACGGTCCCACTGTCCCCACCACATTCCCACTGTCCCCACACCATTGTCCCCACCACCACCGTCCCCACCACCGTCCCACAGTCCCCACCACTGTCCCACTATCCCCACTGTTCCCACCCTTCTCCCCGCTGTCCCCACGTCCCCACTTTCCCCACCATTGTCCCACCACGGTCCCACTCTCCCCACTTTCCCCACGGTCCCCACCACTGTCCCTACTGCCCCCACTGTTTCCACCACTGTCCCACTGTCCCCATGTCCCCAGCACCACTGTCCTCACCACCACTGTCCCCGCTGTTCCCACCACCGTCCCCACTGTCCCCACCAGAGCCCCCACCACTGTCGCTCTGTCCCCACTGTCCCCAAAACTGTTCCCACCACGGTCCCACTCTCCCCATTTTCCCCAAGGTCCCAACATTGTCCCCACTGTCCCACTGTCCCCGCCGCTGTCCCACTGAGCTGTCCCACGGTCCCCACCACTGCCCCCACTGTCCCCGCCACTGTCCCCTCTGTACCTCTGTCCCATCGTTCCATTACCGTCCTCGCCACCGCCCTCACCACTGTCCCCACCTCCACTGTCCCCACCACGGTCCCACTGTCCCCACCACATTCCCACTGTCCCCACACCATTGTCCCCACCACCGTCCCCACCCCTGTCCCACGGTCCCCACCACTGTCCCACTGTCCCCATTGTTCCCACCCTTCTCCCCGCTGTCCCCACCAGTGCCCCCACCAGTGTCTCACTGTCCCCACTCTCCCCACCATTGTCCCACCACGGTCCCACTCTCCCCACTTGTCCCACGGTCCCCACCACTGTCCCCACTGTTCCCATCACTGTCCCACTGTCCCCACTGTCCCCGCCGCTGTCCCACTTTGCTGCCCCACTGTCCCCACCACTGTCCCACTGTTCCCACTGTCCCCACCACTCTCCCCACCGTACTACTGTACCACCACCGTCCTCACCACCGCCTTCACCATTGTCCCCACCACTACCGTCCCCACCACTGTCCCACTGTCCCCGCCACCTTCCCGCTGTCCCCTGACCACTGTCACCACCACCGTCCCCACCACTGTCCGCACCACTGTCCCACTGTCCCCGCACCACTGTCCCCACCACCGTTCCCACCACTGTCCCAGTATCCCCACCACTGTCCAACTGTCCCGAGGAGCGGGAATCGTTTGCCAGCGGACCGGTAGTTAGGGCCCCCCCCTCCAGTTTTCGAGGCGGGGAGGGGGGTTCGAACCGGTAGTGACCCCCCCCTTTTCATGATGGATTGAGGGGGGGGTCGAACCAGTAGTGACCCCCCCCCCCGTTTTCGACGGGGGGGGCGGGTTGGGAACCCCCAGTGACCCCCCTTGGTTTTCCCCCAGCAGCGGTAGAACACGCTCTTTCCGATGTTAAGTTCGATTGTTTGCAGCCGTCAGGCCATGTTGAGAGGCGTGGTGCAGGAGGGCGAGGTCTTGAGGCCGTCTTGCGGCCTCTTGCGGCCGCGCGCTGGTGGGCCACGAGGCGGCCGCAGGCCAGTCTTGCGTCACGGAGGGAACACCTTGCGCAGGTCTTCGGCGGTCTCGAGGCCAGCCCGGGCCTCGCCCAGGGGCTCCAGGGTGTCTTGTTGGGGGGGGTGAGGCGGCCTGGCGCCCCACAACAGCAAGCCAGCTGCATCCGTAGCCATTTAGGCTCAAGGCTGTCTGCTGTGCAAGCGCACCTCTTGTGGGCTCCACTTCCCTTCGCGCACCCATCGCTCAGCAGCAGCTATGGGCTGCGGCAACAGCAAGAAGGCGAGCGAGGCCCAGGTTGAGGAGACGAAGGCTGCCCCCGAACTGACCGAGGCGTCCGCTGAGGAGCGGGCTCTGGTGCAGCTCAGGACCATCTTCGACAGCATCGATGTGAACAAGGACGGGAACGTAAGCAAGGCAGAGTTGGTCGCAGCCTTGGAGAAGGATGCCAGCATCGGAGACCTCATCAAGGATGCAGGCCTGAACCAGGAGTACAACGCCATGGATCAGCTGCAGACCAGCAAGGATGGCCACGTGACCTGGGAGGAGTTCCTGGCGAACCTGAAGGAGGCCGCGAAAAAGGAGGTGTTGGAGACAGGCGAGGTCAAGGGCATCGAGCTGGCCGCGGATGAAAAGGCCCTCCAGCAGCTCAGGAAGCTCTACGACGAGCTCGACCGCAACAAGGATGGAGCCGTGAGTCGCGAGGAGCTGGTCGCGGGCATGGAGAAGGATGCCGACATCGGCCAGCTCGTCAAAGAGGCAGGCTTCAACCCCGACTATAATGTCCTGGAACAGCTCGACACGAACGGGGACGGCAAGATCACTTGGGACGAGTTCGAGGCTCACCTCCGCAAGGCGGCCAAGGAGGAGGTCAAAGAGCAGGGCGAGGTGGCCGCGGTCGCCAACATCGAGGAGGAGGAGAAGAAGATGGAGGCGGAGGCCGAGAGTAACGCCGTTGTCAAGCCGACGTCTTGGTGCGGATGCGCTTGAGAGGCCGTCGTCTCAGACTAGGCAGTGGTGTCGGATTGCGTGGGCAGTTCGATATCACGCGCAGTGTTATCGAATGCAGAGCATCGTTTCTGCAGCCGAGATTGCCGCTTGCATGTGGCGTTTGCATATTATTGAATCGCTCCGCTCACTCCGCCGGCCCGTATTGTGCCATCGCAGGCGTTTGCTTGCGCATTCGTGGCCTCTTGGAGGCCTCCTGGGGGCCGTTTGGGGTCCTCTTGGAGCCTCTTTGGGGCCTCTTGGGGGCCTCGTGGGGCCTCCAGGGGGCGTCCTGGGCTCTCTTGGGGACCTCTTGGGGTCTCCTGGGGGCCTCTTGGGGCGGAAGGCTCGAATTGGCGGTTCTCGTTCCCCCCCTTGGGCCCCTCTTGGGGCCGTCTTGGGGCCCTCTTCGGCGATCTTGGGCGCCTCTGGGGCCGTTTTACGGCCGTCTTGGACCGTCTGGGGCCGTCTGGGGGCCTCTCGAGCCGTCTTGGGGCGGTCTTGGGGGCCTCTGGGGCCATCGTGGAGCGTCGGACAGCCGAACAGGCGAGAAGGCTGAAAACCTTTAAGAACCTCAGGAAAATCAGTGATTTGTACCTCTTGGGGCGCCTCTTGGAAGCCTCGAGGGGCGTGTGGGGGGGGGCATCGAGGGTCACCGTGAGGCCATCTTGGGCCGCCTTGGGACGCTGTTGGCATCTGGCCGTAGCGCCTGCCATTCATTTGTCGACTCATTGGGCCGCTGCTGGACGGTTCCAATAGGCCCCCGGGCCCGCGCCCAAGAGATCCCGGCATCTCTGACGGGGGCTTGCCGGGAGTTGCCCGGGGTGCTCTTCGCTCCGGGACCCCCAGGTGCCGCCACGCGCGCGCGAGCTAGAATCTTGCCGACCTGTCACCGGAGATCTCAGCACGCCTCTGGCCCGTGGGGCTGGCGAGTTACTTGATGACCTGGGTTCGTATATCGTACGATGGTCCAGGATGGCTGAGTCCCAGCTCCCAGCTGTTTGAGAGGTGTGCATGTCGGGCGCCCAGTCGTGCAATGGAACGGCTAGCATACCCAACGCATTCTTGCCACTTGTAAAGATTGACCGACCTTCGCCACACATGCACACCAAAAACAAGCCAGCTGAAATCGTCCATCGTCGTTGCGTGCCGTGCAGGGGCCGTCTTGCGATGGCCGTGGGCCGTGTCGGAGTCAGCCCGAGGCCGATGACGCGCGCCCCGAGGGCGACACCGAGCCCCCCAACGGACCCCCCTGCGGACACCACGTCCGGGCATCGGCTCGAGCGGCAAGACGGCCTCTGCAGCAGCGAGAGCGGGCGCTGGCGGGCTCGGAGCGCCCACGGGCCGCGCCGGGCTGCGTGCACACGAAGGCACCTGGAAGCGAAGAGGGCGGCCGCACGGCAAGAAGAGGGGAAGGATTGCAAAAAAACCGAAAGATTGCAAAAAAACCCTTGAACGAAGGATTGCAAAAAAAACCCTTGAACGAAGGATTGCAATCCTTCGTTTTTTTGCAATCCTTGGTTTTTTTGCAATCCTTCGTTCCAGACGCAGAGAATCTGCGCCACGAGGAGCGCGCAGGCAGCCTCAGGCACCGGGAGCTGGCGCTTCTCGCAGGCTGTGCGAAGCAGCGCATGCTGCCGAAGGGGGGGCAGCACCGGAGACCATCGGAGAGGCAGTTCGAGCGGCAACATGTGAGCAGTCGGAGCTTGATTCCGGTGCGTGCCGGCCTCGATTCGGCGGGGTGGGCTGACCCGTGCTTCGCCAAGAGCAGGCGTAGTAGAAAGCAGGGGGGCGTCACCCACGTTCCCAGTGCTCGCAGGTCTCGGCCTCTGGTCGATTCAAATCAGCTTGAACTATTGCGGTTGGCGTTTCGGGGGAATGCGCAGGTTTCTTTCGGCCAGACCTGTGGCGCTGGAGGGGCCCCAAACCCTCGCGTTCCCTGATCTCGCCTTTGCGAGGAACGCCCACGCCGAGAGTGTCTGATCGCTGCCCCAGAGGTCCCGACCCCTTTCCAGGAGTAGTTTTTGCGCCTCGGATCTATTGTTGATGGCCCTGGGGACCCAAGAAAGGGCCCCAGATGCCGAAATCGACGGTAAATACATGTTGAAGTAATCATAGCGTCGGTACATGTCGCCATGTGGGGCGCTCCAGAAAGGCCCGCGCCTTCGACGACCGAAGGAGTCGGCAGCTCTTCCTCGGCTGGAGGAGGGTGAAGTAAAGCGGGCCGCTTCCGCAGGCGGAAGCCGCGGTCGGCAGAGGCAGAAAATTATCTTCAGGAGATGGCAGCTCTGGGGGGCCCAGTGCTTCTGGAACGAGCCATTTTCATCATAGGGCCGTCATAAGATCGGGCGACGAAATCTACACATGTCCACTGCTCCCTGGCCAGGCCCATCCTGAACCCAGGAGCTGAGAGCACGCCCGCCTGGCCAAGCCATGAGGGCGTGGCGTGTACACCGCTGCTGGGTTCAGGAGGGGCCTTGCCAGGGAGCGCCCAGACATGCGACGTCCTGACGTTTTCAGTACGCGGTCTCTGGATGTCCTCACCTTTTCCACGGGACCGGTTTGTCATCTTGAGTAGTTCTTGTTGACGGTCCTGGGGCCCAGCGAGGGCCCCCAGAGGACTCGATCATGTCTGGGTCTATAAGCCGCGCCATGCTCCCCCCCCTTGGTCTGCCCGCCCTCTCCACGCCTCTGCCCTCGCGGGCAGAGCCCTGCGCGACGGGGCCCGCGCGGCCGCAGCGGGCGCGCGCCCGGCCCCCCCCCGCGCGGCCGAGGCGGCGCGCACTCGAGGTGGTGGCGCGGAAGCCGTGGTCGAAGATCAGGCGGGCGCCCGTGGGCCTCTCGGCCTCGCGGCCCTGGCGCCGTCGGCCCCGCCCGAGCGCTGCAGGGGGGCGCGCGAGGGCCCCGTCGCGGGCGCTTCCTGGGCGCGCGGGAGCCGCGGTCGAAGGTCTGGCGGGCGCCTGGGCGCACACCGCCCGCCCCCGCCTCCAGGGCGGAGGGCCTGGACCCCCGGGCGGCGGGCGCCGAAGCAGCCGAAAAGAGCCGGACGCTCAAATTTGAAAGTTTCAAAAATTTTCGCGAATAGTTCGAAAAGTCGACAAGTCGAATAATATTAAACTGCAAGAGTAATCCGCCGGTGCCTTCGAAAAGTCGACAAGATGAAAGGTCAAACATGTTTCGACTTTGCAACTTGTCGAGTTCACGCTTCGAGGGACCTGCCAACGGCGCCGCGTAGCGCTCCCGCCGCAGAGGGGCGCAGAAGTGCATCAATGTAAAAAGTCAAAGAATCGATAATTTTGATGTTTCGCAGATCGAAACACTTTTCGACATTCAAACTCTCGCACTTTTTTCAGATATGTCGTGAGACACCACATTCTTCGACTTTTCAACCTCTCGACTTCTCGACTTGTCCTTCAGCGCTGGCGTAGGGCCACTCAGGGTGGCAGTTGTCGCATGGTGTAGGGCCTCCAGTGTCGGGCAGGACGCCCCCCGGAGGGCTTCTCGGGGCGGGAGGTTTCGCACGGTGTGGGGCCTTCCAGGGTGGGAGGTTTCGCATGGTGTACTTAAAATGCCCGCTCCAATCGAGTTAAAAATAGGCGTATAATAGTTGTGGTAAAGTTATACAACAGTTGTAGAATAGTTGTAGAATAATCCTACCATAAATTTTCAAACTGTTCCATATCCATTCCATATATATATCTGACGGTACTTGCACATTGATCTTGGAGCCTCAGCCTCGCAGAATTGGCCGCATTTCGTTGTCCCGCAACTTTCTTCGCTCAAGTTAATTTGTGGAGGGGTCAGCGCTCTCGAGTCCCTCTCGGGCGCTGTGCATGTGGGGCGAGCTCGCGACGGTGGCTGCAGGTCTGACGCAGACCTACCTGGCGAGCTGCCCGCGGTGCCCCGAGCACCGGTGCCCCAACTGCCACTGCGGTCGGTGCCCTTCGATCCCAGCGTGCCCGGCGTGCCCAGGCGCGCCCGCTGTTCGGCAAGACGCTGCAGAGGTGGAGCTGCAATTCGGGCCGCCGTGGAGCTGGGCCATCGCGCTGCTCGGCGCGGGGTGCCTGGCCGGGGCGTGCGGCGCGGAGGCGATCGGGGGCCTGGTGCGGGGACTGGGTCGTTGCTGCCGTCGCGATGGCAGCCGCAGCTCTGGCGGGGACGCCGGAGGCGGCGAGTTGCGCGTGGGTGTACGTGCTCTACAATGGGGAGGGCGAGCTGTGGCACCAGAGGCGGCGCGTCGGGAGCTCAAGGGTGTCCTCGGCGACTAACTACATCCTCACGCCCGACGGGGACTGCTACGCGGAGAGGTACGACCTGGAGGAGGCGCACATCTCGGCGGTGCGGTACGCCGATGCGCGATGGCAGCCACCTCCCGGGCTGGCGCGCGGGAGCGTGTACAGGTTCCGAGCGGCGCCGACCCAGCAGGAGTTGGACGACGCCTTCGTCCAGTCGGAGGCTCTGGAGCGGGCGGAGCATCGTGCGAGGGAGGCGGCAGCAGGCCGCGATCCAGCGGTGATCCCGCCAGGAGGCTACCTGGAGCGGCTTCCTGTCCAGCCTGCGGCGGCGGCAGCAGCGGGAGCAGGGCCTCCCGAAGTCGCCGCGGCGGGGGGGGGGGCTTGGCGGCTGGGGCAGTGGGCGCGGCATTGGCGGTAGGGGGGCCTCGGCGTGTGGGTGTACCTGTCGGCGGCGGGGCTGCTGGCGGGGGCGGCGAAGGAGGAGTTCGCGGGGACCCGACCCTAGTGTGGGTGGCGGTGGAGACGCGCGGGCAGTACCGACGGGGAGATGGGGTGCTGGTTCCAGCGGGCGCCGTGACCTTGGGCGATGTGGCGCTGACGCCGACAGGCGATGGCAGAAGCTTGTGCCTGCGACGGCTGAGGCGTCAGGACGTGATGAGTTGGGTCGGGGCTGAGGCGGCTGGAGACGCGCGGATCCTGAACGTGGACCTGAGCGAAGCTGGGCGGCAGAGGACCCAGTGGCGCGACGTGGTGAGCAAGTCGAGCGTCACTGACTTCGCCGACTGGCCCGTGGTCGGCCCCAGGACCACCGAGTGGTGCATGATGTTCTTGAACAGACGAGGAGGTGGGCCGATGGACCACCACAGGTATTTCACGGTGCTACACGGCCTCGAGACGGGCGACTGGGGTGTCGACACGCACCGCATGTGCCTCAAGGCGGTGGAAGAGGCGGGGACGCATGACCACCTGGAGCTGTGCAACCTTGCGAGCTTCGAAGTCCTCTTCCGCCAGGCCCAGCTGGTAGAGTACGTGCACGAGCAGGAGAGGGTCGCCAGGCAGATGGCCGGTGGCAAAGGAAAGAAGGGAGCCGGCATGGGTGCAGGGCTGCTGGACGAGAGTCTGGTGTTCACAGGCCAGCACCGCGAGGCGGGCGGCGTCGTGCTGGCGCCGGAGCTGATGGACTTCGCGTCGCGGGAGGTCGAGAGGGATGCCGACATCACGAAGCAGGTGGGGAAGGCGCGAGAGGAGCGCCGGGCCCTCACCAACAACAAGAAGAAGGATGGGGAGTGATCGGGCAGGAACGCCTGCCCACTTGCCCCGGCCGCCGGCGACAACCGTGCGCGGCCAGGGCGGAGGCCGTCCTCCACAGTTTTGCAGCCACCCTCGTGAGCGTCGAGTTGCTCGCGAGCTTCTTCCGCTGCCCCTGCCCGAGGGGCAGACAGGCCTGCCAGCGCTGGTTCATGGTCCCGGAGGGGGGGGCAAGAGTTTGAGCCACGCAGTCCGCCGGCGTGGACGTCGGGCGCGTCATCGAGAAGATGGGGCGCCCGGGACGATCGCCACCCTCAACGAGCTGCACGGGGCCAGCGAGGACCTCGACAGCACTCATTTGCGTCCGAGTGCGGCGCAGCCTTCCTGCTTGGCGCGGATCGAGCAAGCCCACCGCGAGCTCGGTTCGCCTCCAGCCGACTTGCATGGGCAGGGGGCCTTGGAGGAGCTCCTGTCGAAGCAGAGCCACGGCGGCGTCGCTGGAGCTGTTGCCCCCCTCGAGGTGGAGCGGGTAGCCTTGCCCAGTCTCCAGCGCCGGCCCGCGCGCATCCAGGCTGTCGGGGGCTCGGCGGGCGCGAAGGTTCTCGAGGTTCTCAAGAGTTTGGTTCGGGCGCCCGAAGATGGGGCGGCTGAGGAAGAGCGCCAGCAGTTGCGCCGAGCCTACAACGACCCGGTCGTTCGCCAGAAGCCGAAGGAGCATGCGCAGCTCCTTAGGAAGCTGCACGAACGGGGCATCATCGAGCACAGGCGTAGCTGCAAGAGGAGCGCCGGTACGTTCTGCGCATGGAAGAAGGGAGGGGAACAACGTCTTATCCTGGATTGCAGAGTGAGCAATTGCTGGTTCAAGGACGCCCCAGGAGTGAGCCTGGCTACAGGCGACAGTTTTGGACGGCTCGCGATCGAGGGGGCCGAGCCCGTGTACGCGTCGGGCGTGGACATCGAGGTGGCCTTCTACTCGACAAGCCTGCCCGAGGAGCTGCGCGAGTACTTTGGGACGGAGCCCGCGTGCGCAGGGGCTGTCGGAGTTCGATGGCTTGACGGGGAACGCGCGCATCCTGGAGCAAGGGTCGTGCCGGTGCTGAGCGCGCTGCCCATGGGCTTCAAGGGGGCGCTGCACGTCTGCCAGGCGCTCCACGAGGCGGTGGCCGAGAGGGTCACTGGCGTGGATGCGGACAACAGACTGGTGGACGGGCGGCCTGCCCCTGCGGTGCCCCAGGGCTGCGCCCACACCGAGTGCGCGGACAACTTCGCGGCGCTCGGGGCGGGCGGAGAGGAGGGGCGCTGGCTGGCCACTGAGGTCGGCGCCGCTCTTGAGGCCGACGGGCCAGGCGTGCATCCAGCCACTTGCAGCCCAGGCGGAGATGCGCTTGGCTGGCACTTTGACGAGCTGCGGCCTGCAGCGGGGATCGCTCCACGCACGGCCTGGCGGCTCATTCTCGGCCTGCGCGAGATTCTGCGCAGAGGACGAGCGAGCGGATCCCAGTTGAGAAGCATCGTTGGTCATATTACCCTTCGCGTTCTACTGCGGCGTCCGATCCCATCGGTCTTGCACACCGATTACGCCTTGATCGATCGTCATCCTGTCCGAGTAACACCTCTTTGGGATTCCGAGAGAGATGAACTGGAGTGGGTGAGTCATCTGGTGCCCCTGGCCTTTAGAGAGCTCAATATGGTGTGGAGCCCCAAGGTGACGGTTTTCGACGCGAGCGAGTGGGGCTACGGGGTTATGGAACGACGATGCGACATGGGTGCGATCAAGCATGCGGGGCGATATTCTGACAGGTGGAGGTTCACGAAGTGCGGGGAGCAACGGGTACGCCCACGAGATGATGAGGGAGTCTGGGGACAAGAGCAAGGAGATCTTCGTGGGGCGCCTGCGGTGCCCAGGTCTGTCTGGGGAGGCTGCTGGAGGCGTGTGATGAGTAGACCTTGGAGCGTCTCGGGCGACCAGGTGATCTTGGAGGCCCGGGCTGGTGTTTGGGCGCTGCGTCACATTCTGCGGGACAGCAAAGCCGTGGGTTGTCGGCATCTCGTGCTCAGTGATGCCATGGCCGTTGCGCTCGGGATCACCAAGGGTCGGAGCTCGAGTCGGGCGATGGCGCGCTGCCTCAGGCAGTGGGCCGCCTTGTGCCTGGCCAGCTTCGCCGCAGTTCACGCGCGCTGGATCTCCTCCGAGAGGGACGCGGCTGACGGGGCCTCGCGCGGCTCTGAGGAGCGCAGCGCCGCTGCCTGTCGGGATGCTCAGCCGCGGCCCAAGCGCGAGGCGGCTTGGAGGCCTGGCGGCTGCCCCGACGGCGGCGGCTTCGAGCTCGTGGACCCCGCGACTGGCGGCTTCATCCGAGGCGGCGGTGGCGACCCCTTTGTCCTCGGGCCGCCGCCTGGGCTCGAGCTTCCCAAGGCGCAGTGCCTTGATGAAGAAGCAGGCGAGCCAGGCGCAGCAGCGGGCGAGGCAGCGGCGGCGCCGGGCCAGCGCCAGCTCGCAGGCGAGCGCGAGCGCGGCCGCACACCATCGCGCAGGCGCCAGCCGCGGGGTTGCCGCCGCCGGGCGGCGGCAGGCGCTGCTGGGGCAGGAGCTGACGCAGCTGGAGCGCGGCGCGCCGCTCGGGTCTCGCCCGCTGACCGCGCTGGATGACGAGGCTGTGGGGCCCCTCACGCAGAAGGACTACCGCAATCGGTTCAGCTGTTTCGTGCGCTGGGCCTCCAGGAACGGGGTGAGCCTGAAGACTCCGGCGGACGCCGACGGCGCGCTGGTTGCGTGGCCGAACGAGCAGTTCTTCGAGGGCGAGCAGCTGGCGACGGGAACCAAGATGCTGGCGGCGCTGGGCCATCTGCTCCCGGGGGTGCCCCGCGGCGCGCCCGAGCTTCGGAGATCGCGGCGGGCGCTCCAGGGCTGGAGACGGCACGACCCTGCCAGCTCTCGCTCGCCGCTGCCCTGGCCTGCGACGGCCGCTCTGGCGAAGGAGATGCTGGCGCGGGGGCAGCGGGCGGCCGCAGGAGCGACGCCCATGGCCTTCGTGCTGCTGCTGCTGCGGCCAGCGGAGGCGCTGAGGCTAGCAGGCGGGCGCCTAGTGGCGCCGGTGAGCGGAGGGACCCCGAACCGCCGCAAGTGATCCGTGGTGCTCCACCCGCGCGAGCGGGGCCTGACCTCGAAGGCGGGGGCGCAGGACGAGTGCATGGTGTTCGACAACCCCGAGTTCGAGCTGGTGGTGCCGATGCTGGTGAGCTTGCAGAAGACCGTGGCAGAGTGAAGGCCCCTCTTCCCGGCGCGCTCCGCCCAGTGGCAGGACGCCGCGCGGTCCGCCGCAAAGCGATTGTTCCCCAGCCTCGCCGCCCCCACGCTGTACCAGCTGAGGCACGGCGGGGCGTCGCACGAGGCGCTGACCGAGTTCCGCAGCACCGGGGGCCTCAGGCGCCGAGGCAGGCGGCACAGCCTACGGTCCGTCAAGCGGTACGAGAAGGGCGGGCGCGTGAACCAGGTGCTGAGGTCGCTGACGCCCGAGGAGCTGAACGCCGCGCTAGAGGCCGAGCGCACGCTTGGCGCGCGCCTCTCGCGGACATACCGCAGCTAGCGGGCAGAGGGGGCTTCGCGCTGGAGATCTTCTCCGGGAGCGGGAGGTTCAGCCACTGCTGGAGGCAGCGGCCGCCGCGGGGCCTGCCGATCTTCGAGATCGACGTCGGCCACCACTGCTCCCGCGACCTCAGCAGCCGCTCCGCCCAGCGCCGCATCCTGGGCTGGATCCGTTCGGGCTGCAGCCGTGCGGTGCGGCTCGGGACGCCGCGCGCGACCTTCTCCCGAGCGCGCGACTCTGGCTCCGGGCCTCCGCGTCTGAGGTCGGATGACCTGCCTCTGGGTCCCCCAGGACTTTCAGAGGCCGACCAAGTGAAGGTAGACGTTGCCAATGAGTTGTGCCGATGTTCAGCAACAGTTATAGCCTGTTGCCTGTCGCGCGGTGTGCCAGCAGTACTTGAGTATCCAGCCTCGTCTCGCCTGTGGCTCACGCCTTTCGTGTCATCGATTAGGGTTCGCAGGGGAGTCAGAGAAACCGCCACGGACTTCTGCATGGATGGGATGCCATGGCGGAAGAGGACTCGGCTTCTGCACGTGCATATCGATATTCCCCCTGCCGCGCGCGTCTGTCACAGTGCCAAAAATCAACACAAGTGCGATCGCATTGGCCAGAAGCATGTTGTGCTGCACGGAAAAGGGCCTGATGGGAAGTGGCCCACCAAGACGGCTGAGCCCTGCCCGCGTTCGCTGTACAAACGCTTAGTCAATCAGCTTCGTGCCTCTACGGTTGCCTGCGAAGTAAATTGTCTCAGAAGTTTTCTTGATTGAACGGCGGGCCATGGTTGGACTTCGGTATGGTCTCAGCTTGGAGTTGACAGAGTGTTCGAATGCATTCCCGTGTCTGTGTGCGCTCGCTGCTCAGCTCCAGCTGTGGGTAGCCCTCCCACTCGCACACAGATTGCCCTCTCAGAGGGGTGGCCATGGCGCGAGGAAAGAGAGCTAGAGATCTGACGGCACTTGCACATTGATCTTGGAGCCTCAGCCTCGCAGAATTGGCCGCATCTCGTTGTCCCGCAACTGTCTTCGCTCAAGTACCCTCCCATTGATTGTTAGCTAACGCTTTCGCTGCTCTGTTTCACCCGCCCCTTCCTTCGACTCGACAGTGGGAGTTGACAGAGTGTTTGAATGCATTCCCGTGTCTGCGTGCGCTCGTTGCCCAGCTCCAGCTGCGGGTAGCCTTCCCACTCGCACACAGATTGCCCTCTCAGATGGGTGGCCATGGCGCGAGGAAAGAGAGCTATATATATATATATATATGTGTATATATATATATATATATATATATATATATATGCTCGCCCCCCCCCCCCCCCCCTATGATCTACGAAATGTCGTTTTGTAGCAAAAGGCGCGCAGTGAATCAGCGAAACCACTTCAAAATCGGAGCTGCGCACGCAAAGTGAGGCCTCCGCCTCACCACTTCCCCCACCTTCATCGTTGCCACGGCCGCATCGCCTGGAATCAGCACCACACCAAGATCATCATCGACATGAACATAACGATTGCAAGCTGGCCTGCCAATACCACAACGTTGCCATTACCGTCACAAACAGCATCACCACCACCTCCTGGACCACCATGGTCTCCATCATTATCCACTCTGGGCCACCACTACGATGGTAATCGTAATCATCGCTGCCCTCTGGAACACCACAACCATCATGTATGTTACGTCTACCACGACAGCGACCATCCTCACCATTAGCACCTTCGCAGTCTTCACCATGGCCACCACCTGGATTTCCATCTCTGCCATCACCGTCTTCACCACTACAAGCTAACACCACTTTGACCACCTGCATCAAAATACCCTTCACTGGCTTCATTGCCGACGCAACCAGTACCACAGTCGCCATGGTGGTGGTGGCAGTGGTGGTCCATATGATAGTGTTTGTGACGGCGATGGCAGCGTTGTGGTATCGACGGTCCAGCTTGCAATCGCTGGTTTAATGCGAGGCGGCCGCGGCAACGATGACGGCGGTGGAGGTGGTCCAGGTGGCGAGGGGGCGATGTTCACAATGGAGATGGCGGTGGTGGCGACGCCCTAGGTGTTTGTCACGATGGTGGTGGCGATAACGAGCATGACGGTGTTGTGGGATGATCATGGCGGTGGGCTTGGTGACGGCGCTTGAGACTATGAAGGCGGTGGTGTTGCAGAGTTGGTTACCTGGCTACTGGTGGATACAATCGTGCTGATGATGATGGTGGTGGTCGTTGCTGGCCACGTGGTGGTAGCAATGATGGCCCATGTATTTTCGCAGCGCAGATGATGATGATGATTGTGGCGGCGAAGATGGTGGCAGTGGTCGACCAGGGTTCATTGTTGCTGATGCTACTAGCGACGATGACGATGCCAATTCTGATGATGGTATTGTTGAGCTGGTGGGCAGTCGGGTCTTGTTCATGCTGGTGGCGACGGTGGTCTAGGTGCTGGTGGTGATCGCGATGGTGGAAGTCCTGGTGTTTCTGAGGATTGTCATGATCGCCATGATGGTGGTGCTCATCACGGTCTTGGATGTGGCGACGATACGGATGGTTGTGGCCAGTTTGTGGTCGCGATGATGATGGTGTCGGTGATGGTGATGATGTTGATGTGGTTGTCGATGATGGATTAAAGCTAATGCAATCGGTCCAACTGGTATTAGAGATAATGCTAAAAATGCTGGTGGTGGTGATGACGGCACTCTGGGAGGTGTTGGTGACGGTGGTGGGTGGGTAAGTTGCGAGGCTCGGAGAGAGTACAAAGGTCATGTTGAATCTCATTGAGGAGGGGGGAAGGATGACGGAGTACGACGCGGGTGAAGACGAGGACGAAGATCAGGAGGAGAAGAAGGAAGGCGGAACAGGATTAGTAGAAACGCCAAGAGTAATGCTGGGAGAAGGGAGGATAATGAGTAAGGTTCACAACGGCCAGGCTCCGGGGAAGGATGAGGCCCAGGACCATGATAAGGAGGAGGATAGAGGACCATTGGGATCAGGGGAGCAGAATAGCAGACCAGGAGGAAACGGAGAAGTGTAGCAGACGAGAAGGCACGACACGTGCCGCATTCATCAATATTTCCATTATCATCTCAACTCGTACCGCAATCACTATGGTGACGGTTGTAATGCTGGCACACATGATATTGATTGTAACGTCACAGCGCGTTTGACGTGTTGGTAGCCCAGGTCGTAGACGTGATTGTCATAAACGCGATTATTATGATGGTGAGGGTATTGGGCCAGGCATGGTGGCGATGGTGACGGCCGAGGTGTTGGAAACGCTGCTTCCAGTGGAGTTGAGGCCGGTGGTAGTGATTATGGTCCCGGTGGTTGTGATGACGATGACAAAAATATCATCGGGGTGGGTGGGGTGGTAATGCTTGCGATGATGACAGTGGCGATGTTACAGTTTTGTCTGCCCGGCTACTACTGCAGGTAGTCGTGATGATGATGGTGGCGGAAGTGTTTGGCCAGATGGCGTTGGCGGTGATGGCCCAGAGGCGGGTTGCAGCGCAGATGATGAGTGTCTTGGCAAATCGTGGCGGTGGCGGACCAGGTGGCAGTGATGGTGGTGTACTGGCGATGATGACTACATATGCTAAACGGTTATGTCAGTGTTGTCGACTTCGTGGCCAGGTGGTAGTGATGTGCGCATGATATTGATGGTGGTCGCTGTGATGGTCCACTTGTCATGCTGCCAAATTGAGTTGTTGCCAGTGGTGGTGATCCAAATGGCGGTGATGACGATGATGACGATAAAGAGTGCTAAGGTGGTGGGCGGGATTGATGTTGCTGGTAGTGATGGCGACGGTATTGGTGCGATGCTGCATGCCCAGCTACTAGTGGAGGTCATCGTGATGATACTGGTGTTAGCTGTTGACTAGGTGGTGTTCGCGGTGATGTCCCAGGGGCTGATTGCGATACATATATGGTGGTGCCAGGTGGGAGTGATGACGGTGCAACTGAGGACGACGATGACGATGTTGATGCCACTGCACATGATGGTGTTGTGGTGTTGGTGGCCAGGAGGTAGTGGCATCATCGTGATAGTCATAGTGGTGGTAGTGATGGCCCCCATCTTGATAATAGTTCGATGGAGATGATGCCTGTGAAGATGTGGTGCCCAAGATGGCGGTGATGTTGATGATGACAGTGACGACTATGATCTTGGTGGGTGGGACTGCTGGTGCTAGTGGCGATGACGATGGCGACGGTGATGGTGACGCTGGAAGTCTAGGTGATGCTGTCGATCGCGATCATGGTGGTGGTCTTGGTGCTGCTGGGGATTCTGGTTATCGTGTTGATGGTCCTCGCGGTGGTGATGGTGGCGATGATGACATCAGCGGCACTGCAAGGTGAGCGCCAGGGGAGGCTAGCTATATGATGGCCCTAAGCGCCTACACCCATCCCCCCTCGCTCTCGCTCTTCCCCCCTCGCTCTCGATCTCATCTCCTGATCTGGGGATCACGCGTGACTCCTCCTGGCGCTGGTGCGTCTCTCTCTCTCTCTCTGCAGGAGACCGGGAGAGCGGGAGAACGGGAGGGCAGTGCAGTCTGTGGTAGCCCCGGCCCAGATTCCACCGCAGTCATCATCATCATCATCATCATCAGCAGCACCAGTATCGTCACCACCTTCACCGTCGTCATCGCCAGCGTCATCGTCATCGCCATCGTCACCGCCATCATCATCGTCATTCTCATCGCCACGATCACCATCGTCACCATCATCACCCCCATGGCATCGGGGCAGTTGTAATCGTCATCATCGCCACCATCACCATCGGCACCATCATCATCATCAACACCGGCGTCATCATCATCATAAGCATAGGACAGCAGCGTAAGTAGAAGGCTGAACTAGGATTTGAAGAGAAGGATGGAAGTGGGGATGAGGCAAGGAGAGGATGGGAAGGATGATGAGGAGTATTACAGTCAATGAAAATGTACTATACCATTCCCTCCTCCTTCTGCTGATGGCCCTCCTCCTCCTCATCCTCACCCCAC